CTGATTCTCTGTCTTTAAGACGACACAGTATAACTTCAGGAAAACACATCCCCGGGGGGGGGGATCACCAAGTCTACCTATCGGGGCCTCCCCCGGGAAACACTGTACTGGGCACGGAGCCATCTGAGACGTGCCAGCTCTTCCTTAACAAAACGCATGAAGCAAGAAGAAAGAAAACGGGTGGGAAAACAGCCGAGGTCAGCGAATACGTAAGTGCAAGAGGGAGATGCCGCGGACGCCTCACTATACATACAGAGGACTGACTAACACAGCAATCTATCTGCCCTGTGTGTGTCCCCTGCCACTAACTCAGGACAGGAGCTACAAGCACACGGCAGTCGGCGGCGGAGATCCTGGGCGGCAGAAGACAGGGCCGTGGGAGCAGCTCCGGAGGCGGAAGCCTCGTCCCCAGTGTGCCAACTCAGTCAGACACCCAACCTTCCTGCAAAGGTCTCTCAGAACAGGATGGGCGATGCACCACACCCACAGCAACGGAGGCCGCCTCAAAAAACGTCTGCTTCTTTCTCCTCTCGACCTTGCCAACCCTGAGGATAAAGGTTAGGAGCCCGTGTCTTCCAGCTGAGCCCCGAGAAGACAGCACAGAGGGTTGAAGGCAGGAGCTGTCTGAGGTGAGGGCTCATTGATCCCTTGGATCCTTCCATGGCTGTGTACACAGCTGACTCACTGGGCTCTCTCCTTCTGGGTCCTATTACCTCCTGCCTGCATCTCTCTGGACCTGCAGTGAGGGTTTACTGAGCAACTGCCCCAGGGTCCTGCCAGGCAGGCGTCTGCTCTTCTTGTCTACCGGCACGGCTTCTCCACACCAAAGCAGTGGCCACCAAGTGTGGACACCTCATACCTAGAGTAGCCTGGCCTGCTCTGTGGAAGCCACTTTAAAAAAAAAAAAAAAAACTGGAATCACTCACTAGGGATTTATTCCGTCCTCCGCTGCTTTTTTGTGATGAGGTCCGCTCGTGTGGGCAGCTGCCTATTCCGGGTCCATCACTCCACATGAATAGCATCACACGCCTGACGGCCACGGATGGCCATCCTACGGCTGGTGGCTGCTGGGCCACGCCTACTTTGGAGCTCTTACAGATAGCACTGACTGCTGTGAATGTTGTTTTCCTACCTCCTGGGGCAGGCACATAAGCACACAATCTCACTGGTTAGGCATGGAGGAGTCGCCTGAGCCCTGGCATCTGTACATTTTGTTACTTAATATCAAGAGGTTTTCCTCGTTTAAACTCCTGACAGACAATGCAGGAGTCGCTGACTGAGGGGTACCCAGCACCCCACAGGTTGAACCTTCCTTGCTCTTAGGTATTTTGGTGGATGGGTAACGTTATTTTGCAGGTTGTTTTCATTTTCATGATCACAAATGAAGGTAACAGGCAGGCGTGTTTGCTAATGATGTGGACATACTTGGGATTTTGGTGGTTTTTTTTTTTTTGAGAGCCTGCTTATCTTGCCCACTAGATGGCAGAGTTCTTCCTAGATGCAGATGCAGATCTACTGGCTGGGAGAATCCAGCTCAGAGGTCCTCTGTGGAGAAGTGAGACTCACCATTCTGAGAACCAGTCGTGACAATGCTAAGTATACAACCACGGTGCAGAAAATGGAACAGAGGGAAAGGGTCTGGAAAGGAGAATCAAATGACCCCCAGGGCCATCCACGCCATCCTCTCCTCACACCGGGGACAGACAGCAGGAAGCTGTGAAGTAAAGGTATGAAGAGCTGCCTGGTGGCAAGACACTACCACTGCCCTTCTTAAAGATTAAATAATGCCAGGCAAAAAAAGAAAAAAAAATCAAAACCAAGTGATTAAAAATGTCCAGATGTAGGTTTCGTATGCAGATACTGAAACTCTCATTTCCCACACAACTAGGAAACTGGCTTGAACTTAAATAACCTGGACACGCAGTTCTTACTCCTCTATGATTCCGTGTCCGTCAGCTTTAAATTACTGCCATGAAGGTTTTCACTTTTAGAGGCTCTCGGTCTGAGATTAGCCCGGCTGGCCCTGAGTCTGTGTCAGGGGTTCGCATCATGGCGAGGACAGCAGAGCACACCATCCATCTTGTAGCTGCATCTCAGATCCCCGGTGAGGGTGAGGGCAGGCCCCCAGGCATCTCAGATCCCCGGTCAGAACATGCTCCCAGGGCTGGCCTTCTCTTAAAGGTCCCTACCACCTTCTAAGAGTAAGTTCCAGGCTGAGGGCTGGGCTTCCATACTTAAGACTTCTGGGAGACACTGAGGATGTAATTACACCTCTGGCCCACCCAAGTCCTCTTTCTTCTTAATGGTGACCCTAGTGTCACAGGCTGTCCCTGTGTCCCCTTTAGCTGACTCTCAGGGGCATCACAATGGCCCCGGGGTTCTGCTTTGGCTTGGATCTCTGCTCCCAGGGAGAGCACCTCTGTGAACTCTTGGCCCCGGGGTCCTACAAAGACTTCCGCAGCTACGGGACTGGCAAACCGCCAGGTAGGAGCGCTCTCTGAGAATTCCTTAGTGGCAGACTATGATTTTGATGCTGATTTAGCTAAACTACTCTGTCATATTGATTGTCCCATCTGGGTTCGAGTCATTTCCTGTAAGGTAAGTAACTGATCATGTGTTCATGAAATTTTAGGCTGCACAAGGAGACAGAATTGGGGAAGACAATTTAGGAAATTAAAGGAAGTTTCTCCTCGTTCTAAAGTGCCTGTAAGGATATGTCTATGAATCGTTGGGATTAAAAAATACATTTAGATAATCTCTCAGACTTTATTCAGAAATTTCTACTGTTCAAGACACCCCAGCCGTCAACCCCCGAGCCCAGCCCTTCTGAAGCTGGGGCTGCAGGGCTCAGGTCCCCCACTAATGAGAACTGTGTCTGTCACCCTCCCTCTACTCCCAGGGGACTGTCTGTCTGTCCACTGCCCCATGCTGGGACAGGCCAGGAGAGCAGCACTGAAGCAGTCCTCTAGCCACAGCCGCTGGCTCTTGAACTTGCTAGGGTTGTGAGCCATTGGTTTTCTGTAGCACAAACACAGAGGCCGGCCGGCTGCACTCACCTAGGAGCATCCTTTCTGCTTTCAACGGTGTCTCAACTGAATCAGTTTTTAAAAAAACTGGGCTCCCCTACTAAAATAAAAACTCACCCACATCACCCACAGTCTTTAATGTTCAAATCCAAACCCAAAGTGAGGCCAAAGCATTTCTCAAATGAAGGGAACCCACAGTCCCCGGGAATATGAGAGATCCCTCTTTGGCAGGAATCAAGTTCTTCTCATACTCCAAAACACAGTGAGGAAATAAGACCGCAGGAATGGCCCGGAAGCTCCTGTGTGAGAACGAGGGTTTCTCCCAGGCAAAGCAAACTTAAACTCTGGCCCTTGACCAATGGGTTAGCTGCCTGAGGCAGCTCCTTCAGCTCTGTAACCCTTCCCGACCAGCAATCGTGGCGAAGAGCTCACGACAGACCCCAGGCACGGGCTAGCACTTCCTGTCTGTCAGAAACCTTGTCACGGACTCTGTGTGACAGGGCAAAGGATGGACAGGGTCTCAGTCTAGAGGCGGCTGGAACATCGTGCTCCTGGGGAGCACAAGAAAAGCACAGCTCCATACAAAACATTCACCACCTAACTTAGCAGGGACCAAGCCGTATCTAGCAAAGGAAACCAGGCAGTGGCCACTAGGGTAGCTGAAGGCCCAGCAGCTCCTGAGTTACCTCACGCTCTGTTTCCTCACCCAACAGGAAGCACATGCTTTTAATCCCGGTGGTCTCCGGTGACTCTGGAGTGCGTTACCCTGGAGGGCCACCGTGGTTCCCAGTGGTTTGCTGCCACAGGTAAGGCCAGCGCCTTTCCTAGGACAAAGGGCTAGCCACCGCCTCTGAGCAAAGCAGCAAGCTTCTCAGTCTACCTCAGGTTCAGGTAGGGCACAGTGGGTCACACCGGGGCTCCAGCGCTTGGGACACGGAGGCAGGAAGATCCGTGCAAGTTCAACGCCAGTCTGGCCTACATGGCTCCAAGGCAGCCAGAGCGACACAGTTGAGACCCGGCCTGAAAGGGGAGGGGGATGAGGTGGCAGCATCCCTAGTAAACCACTCACTAAGGGCGCAGGAGCAGCTGCGCTTAGGCTCCTTCTAAAACCTGACAAACCATGCGTAACTGAGGCAGAGACCTCAATGGTGAACCCTCACGAGAAAGCTGAGTGCCGCCGAGCGCTGGGGCTGCCGCTAGGCCCTTCGGCAGGTTTCGCTTCCTGTCTCAGGGTACAACACTCCTATATGGGAATTCTTCCAACTGGACTTCCCCATTATCCCTAAGACTTGCAGAGATGTTCACGTTAAGAGAGAGAGAGAGAGAAAGAGAGAGAGAGAGCTAGGCTTCCTCGAGACAGAAAATGGACAAAGAGGAGGGAGTAGCCACAGGACCCGGAAGCAGAGCTACAGGGCAGAGCAGAAGCAGGGGCCATGGGGCCCAAGTGTAGGCGCCTGGAAGCTTGGACATGTGAGAGGCGGCATGGTGTAAGTTACAAACCTGGTAGACACGACCGAGGAGCGCCTGGGTGACAGGTGCTTTGTACAGGCAGGAGCTTTCTAGACTAGAGTTCTCCAAATCCTGTCACGTGAGTCCTGTGCACTTCAACTGCAGAGAGGCAACACAGGAGCAACCACAAAGGCGGGCAGAGTCGCACAGCTTAGGAAGAAGCCGGGCTTTGAACCCTGCCCTGCCCAACATCAGACCTCCTATCTATAAATGACAGAGACCCCAAACATCAAAGCAGGCAGTTAATTCAAGGAAGTTCCCCTTTCATACGCCTTTCTTGAAGGTATCCTGTCACTGCAAGAGCATCCTGAGCTGAGCAGGGCTTCGTAAACAAATCACGTGAGAGAGAGAGAGAGAGAGAGAGAGAGAGAGAGAGAGAGGCCACATCCAGGGTAAAGCCCCACACTGAGAGGGAGCCTCGCTTCACTTCCTGAGAGAGGCCGGCGGCGCCGCACTGGGTCCAACAGACAACCCCGTGTTGTGTCGCGTGGGTATTGCACGGCACTCCGGCCTAACAGACACCCCGTCATCGCCCACTACATCGCCACCAGCGTTTCCACAGCCGGGACAGACCAAAACGCCGCCTGCGGAGCCACAGCTCTGAGAGCTCTTTACAGGGCCTGCAGGTCCACAGAGGTCACCTCTCAGAGCGCCTTCTGAGCAGAGGTGAGCTTCACCCAGCAACTCCCTGGTAAGTCCTTATGGGAAGGGACGCGGTGTTAACGCTACAGAACCTCCGCCGCACTGACTCGACACTATTCCTCAGTGTCTTATATTGGTGGTTAAGTGTAGACTTAGTTTTAGAGTCTTTTATTTTTGAAGTTATAATTGCATCATTTCTTCTTTACCTCTCCTCCTCCCAAACCTTCCCTCCCATAACACCTCCTTGCTCTTTCAAATACACGGCCTGTTTCTCGGTATTTGTCACACGCGCTGGATAGCCAGCCGCTGTGCTCTTACCCTGGGGAAGAACATTTCTCTCTCTTTCAGCACGGGGGTGGGGGGCCGCCAGTAGTTTTCTGTGTAGAGGCCAAGGCCCCCGTCCATTTAGCATAACACGAGACATCATACCTTATCTTGGTGTCTTTGTCTTGTGGTTTCAATTTCATCGTTTCATGAAATTAATTGATTTTAGGGGAAAAAATTACTGCAGATAATCATGGAAGTACGTTTTTCAAAAGTTAACCTGAAGGCCAATCGGTTTTCAACACTTCCCCCGAATCCTGCAGAACACAGCCCGTGTGGGAATAGGAGACAGTGTGTGCCACACTGAAGCAAATGAACAGGAATCAATCGGTGACAAGTGGATGTCAGAGAAGCAGCCAGCAGGAGGGGTGAGCACATAGGGTGGTCAAGATGGTTTATAAATACAGGCGTTTCCACGGCACGGCACGGTCAGGGAGGAGGAGGAACTGTGAAACTTCCTTTACCTTACAATGCTATTTTAAAGCCCACTGAGAGTTAAAATGCCGAAGCCTCCAAGTGAGGTTCCTTTGCTTAATGGTAAAGACTTAACTATTCTACGCAGAAATTTTCTCATTTGGGTAGAAATTAGTATTCTGGTTGTACAAGTGTTTGGGGGCGCTTTTTAGACAGGGCCTCGCTGGCTGGCCTGGAACTCACTATGGAGAGCAAACTGGCTTTAAACAGAGCTCCCCTGTCCTCTGCCTAAGCGCCGGGATTAAAAGCATGTGCTACCATCCTTGGTTTTACTTGGGAATCTTCATACAGGTTTTTAGATATATAGGATTTTATTCCAAAATCCCACTGAAGCCAAGCATGTGGTGAACAACGAAGGGGAGAGGGGAGGAAGAAACACATGTACGCCACGCTTGTCCACAGCAATAGCTCACGTTAATTCTCAACAAGTGGCCACGGGGCTGCTCATCCTCCCTGCCGTGTTTTTCACTGAAGAGATGCTCAGGGCTGAATTAGACATAAGCGCCCCACGGAGTACCACTTCTAAAGGAAACGTCTCAGATTCCAAAGAGATGCTTTTAAGTCCCCATCCCTTCAGGGTGAGTCTGTTTAAGTCTCTGCTGGCATTGCACCAGGGGGGGGCGAGGGAAATTCACACCAAGAGCTCCTTACTTATAAACACTGTTAAACTCATTCCTTTTCAAGTGAACACTTTTTGACGGTGGGATTTACTCTCTGTATACACAGGCTAGGACTTCTCAGGCCTGCTTCCCCTTGACAGAATTTACGTTCATCTAGGCAGGGCAGGAGTCTGACAGTCACAACACTAGAAAAAAATACCCTCAAACCAGCGCAGCGCAGCAGCCCGCCACCGATGCAGGGCCCTGGTAAACAGCCGCTGCCTCAGACACTCCCAAACCACCCGCCTACCCGCTGCTCTAGGATGCGATGCCGGTGGACCCCGGCACAGGACAGTAGTGAGTCCAGACCTACGACAATCTGAAGGGACTATAGGAAGACAGGTTTGCAACTGCACAAGGGTGTGAGATCAACAGCGAACTACAGGACCTCGCTGCCAGCCAAGGCAGACGGGGGCTGCTGGGGCACGGAGCACTTCCTATTGCGTGCTAGAGCAGCAAGAGAAGCCAGGCTGTCCCCAGCTGTTCTGCATCTTCTGTTACTGTACTGATGCATGCTTTGTAAATTATGATCACATTTAGTGAATGAAAAGTACCTGAGCATTGCTTATCTGAGTCATAAAAGTAAACAGAGCAAAAATGATAAGAATTGGCAAGCCCTTTTATGAGATTTAAAACCCAGATTGACCCCCTTCCCCGTTACTCCAGAGAATTCTTACGGTCCCCTGATTGATTGTTTGGGAGAGAGAGAGAGAGAGAGAGAGAGAGAGAGAGATATGAATCTCCCTGAGCATCACAGGGCCTGAGATCATTTGAAATGGCCAGTGTGTTTTAAAGACCGGGACAGGGCTGGGCATGGCCGTGCACACCTTTGATCGCAGTACTCGGGAGGCAGAGGTAGAGGTAGAGGGCGCAGAGGGGCAGAGGGGCGGCAGAGAAGGCCAGCTTGGTTTAAATAGTGAGTTCTGGGACAGCCAGGGTTATATAGAGAAGTTCTGTCTCCAAAATAAACAAACAAACAAACAAACAAAGTCTACGATTCCTAGCTCAGCAGGGTACATAACATATGTGAAGACCTGTATTCAAGGCCCAGTGCTACAGAAACAAAAAAGTCATAGAGAAATCAGTAAACAGCAATAAAACTGTAGGCTGTAGTATGTCCTTGAAAAATACTAAGGCATGTGCACGGGGTCTGTGCCCTCAACATTAAAATTCACTATCGGCAAGTAGCCTGAGATTGCTCTGTTTGCAGGCAGGGTCCTTACCCGTTTTCCTATGCCTTACAGCTTGTGCACACCATGGGCGCTGGCCTGCTGTAAGATGACCACCCCTAGCAATCTCCACCAGCTGGCCCTTTCCAACCACTCACACCCAGATGAATACAAAATCGCAGCCCTGGTCTTCTACAGCTGCATCTTCCTGATCGGACTGTTTGTGAATGTCACCGCACTATGGGTTTTCAGCTGTACAACCAAGAAAAGAACCACCGTCACCGTCTACATGATGAACGTCGCTCTGCTGGATCTAATGTTTATACTGAGTCTACCCTTTCGGATGTTTTACTATGCAAAGGGCGAGTGGCCATTTGGAGAGTATTTATGCCACATTCTCGGGGCCCTGGTTGTGTTCTACCCAAGCCTCGCTCTGTGGCTTCTCGCTTTCATTAGTGCCGACCGATACATGGCCATAGTGCAGCCCAAATACGCCAAGGAGCTCAAGAACACCTGCAAAGCGGCGCTGGCCTGTGTAGGGGTGTGGGTGATGACCCTGACAACCACCGTCCCCCTGATACTGCTCTACGAAGATCCCGACAGGGCCGCCTCCCCGGCCACCTGCCTGAAGATCTCTGACATCGTCCACTTGAGAGCTGTCAATGTGCTCAACTTCACGAGACTCGTGTTTTTCTTCCTAATCCCCTTGTTCATCATGATCGGGTGCTACGTGGTCATCATCCACAGCCTCCTGCGTGGGCGGACCTCTAAACTGAAGCCTAGGGTGAAGGAGAAGTCCATCCGCATCATCGTCACGCTGCTGGTACAGGTGCTAGTCTGCTTCGTGCCCTTCCACACCTGTTTCGCCTTCCTGATGCTACAGGGGGAGGGAGGCAGCTACAGCCCCTGGGGAGCCTTCACCACCTTCCTCATGAACCTCAGCACCTGCCTAGACGTCGTCCTCTACTACATCGTTTCCAAGCAATTCCAGGCTCGAGTCATTAGCGTCATGTTGTACCGCAATTACCTACGAAGCATGCGCAGGAAAAGCTTCCGGTCCGGCAGTTTGCGGTCACTTAGCAACATGAACAGTGAGATGCTGTGAGTCAGAGCGGAGAGGCCGGTCTCTGATCTCTTTAAAACTCTTTTTCTATCTACTTTTGGGTGAACCAGCATTCTATATTACCCAGTCCCTTCTCTGGTTTAAAAAAAAAAAAAAAAAAAAAAAGGAATTATAATAATAATAAACTTAAGAAGCCTCTGTGTTGTTTTATTATTCCAGCAACATGATTAAATACTAAGTATTCTGATGTGCTTTTATTTTTATCTTACAACTTATATAAAGCATGGGCATAAGGCATTTGTGGAGGATATGTCTGTGGTCCCATCACTCAAAAGGTAGAAGAAGGCAGCCAGCTCAGGCTGCATGGTGAGGCTGTCTCAAAAAAAAATTAATAAAAATTCAGATAACATATTCATGAACTACCTGGGGAGGGCAAGCCAAATTAGGTTTCAAGTCAGGCCTTATCTGAGCAGGCTGTTAACAAGCTTAATGTTTTTTGATTAAATTCTGTACACAAGTGACTCATAGGGGGAAAAGGGCTATTCGAAATAATTCGATAGATCCCCTTATATCAATACACACTTGGGAGGAAGTCTGAGTTCCGTATTGTGTCATTTCACACCCGGGATGCCAGTCTGAATTCAGTATTATGTCAGTTCACACCCAGGATGGCAGTCTGAATTCTGTATTGTATCAATTTGCACCTGGGATGGCAGTCTGAGTTCCCTATTATGTCAGTTCACACCCAGGATGGCAGTCTGAGTTCCCTATTATGTCAGTTCACACCCGGGATGGCAGTCTGAATTCTGTATTGTGTCAGTTCACACCTGGGATGGCAGTCTGAATTCTGTATTGTGTCAGTTCACACCTGGGATGGCAGTCTGAATTCTGTATTGTGTCAGTTCACACCTGGGATGACAGTCTGAGTTCTGTATTGTGTCAGTTCACACCCAGGATGGCAGTCTGAGTTCTGTATTGTGTCAGTTCACACCTGGGATGGCAGTCTGAATTCTGTATTGTGTCAGTTCACACCTGGGATGACAGTCTGAGTTCTGTATTGTGTCAGTTCACACCTGGGATGGCAGTCTGAGTTCCCTATTATGTCAGTTCACACCCAGGATGGCAGTCTGAGTTCCCTATTATGTCAGTTCACACCTGGGATGGCAGTCTGAATTCTGTATTGTGTCAGTTCACACCTGGGATGACAGTCTGAGTTCTGTATTGTGTCAGTTCACACCTGGGATGACAGTCTGAGTTCTGTATTGTGTCAGTTCACACCCAGGATGGCAGTCTGAGTTCTGTATTGTGTCAGTTCACACCTGGGATGGCAGTCTGAATTCTGTATTGTGTCAGTTCACACCTGGGATGACAGTCTGAGTTCTGTATTGTGTCAGTTCACACTTGGGATGGCAGTCTGAATCTGTATTGTATCAGTTCACACCTGGGATGGCAGTCTGAATTTAGCATTGTCAGTTCACACCCGGGATGGCAGTCTGAATTCAGTATTCTATGTTCTAAGCATCAGCTTTCAAGGTTTCTACACAAGCAACTCTGCTCAAAGCACCACGGGGATTAACCAATGGCAACAGAGCATTCCAGCAGCCCTTCCCCCTTCTTTCAACAAACACTTGCTGCTTCCCAAACCCCACTGACGGGAAACGTTGGAAAGGTAACTGACACGGGATGTTAGGCGGATATAACTTCTCACGACACCAGCAGCTTGCTCTCCTTACACGGTTAAAAAATACATTATAAACATTTTCCCAGGCCACATGTTAGTCAGAGAGTCAGTTCTGATCTTAGCCTGCCCATTTGATTTCTCCACAAAGAGACAAGAGTCTTGTCTAAAAGCAAAGGAACTGAACTACAACCTATGAACTCCTAAACATGGACGTAAAATAAAATGACAACTTATGAGTTCCTCTATAAAATAACCTTGTTTGGGACAGGGCGTAACTCTGGATGTCCTGGAAATTAACACAGTGAAAAGCAAGTCATGGGAGCACAGTGTGTTTACCACTGTAATCAGACGCTCTTTAAAATACATTGCATTTACTTACTGTGTGTGCACACATGTGGGCACGTGTGTCCCACAGCATGTGTGTGGAGACCACAGAACAAGCAGTATGAGACAGTTACCCCCTCCATCCTGGGGTTCCAGGGACCACACTCACACACCAGGCTTGGCAGCAAGCGCCTGTACCCACAGACCTATCTCACCAGCACCAAACACACTCTGACATACGAAAAAACTCAAATTCACTTACCCTGGAGGGGTTTGAGTCTGGGAAACAAACACCCGTATATAAATACTAACAACTAATAAACAACAGGTGTATTAGGGCAAATGTGTGGAGCACAGGTTACCAGACACAGCTAACATGTTTAGCTTTTAATAATGCAGCTACTTTGAAAACAATGGAGGTTTTATCCTGAGTTGAATCCATTAAATATGTCAGGTGCATTTTCTGCTCAGAGCACTGTACAAAGCCTAGATCAACCTCCGCCTACATCAACAACCTCACTTAGAGTCTACCTGGGACTCGGTCAGGTAGGCAACTTTCCTTACAGTGTCTCTTGAGTGTACCAAGTACATAATGGACCGAGACTCCGTCTCAAAGACCTGCGCAATAGCACAGAAGGTCAAGGAAGAGAATTCTGTGATATGAAAATAGGTAAATGCAGTGAATATTCATTGAATTAGTAAAACGTCTGCTATAACGCACATTAAAGGACAAACAATTCTGCCAAATGGCAAGAGGCAGCCACGAGCAAGTGGTATGCGTGTGTTCATGCGTGTGTGCGCGTGCGTGCCTACGTGTGCTGGGAGTGGACAGCATCAGATTACAGGGCTCGAGGGAAGAAGGACACCAAGCATTGGTCTTGCTGCTACCTGCTGCTAGTGAAGGAGCCTAGACAGCCCTCTTCAGGGCCCTGTGCCGCAGAGCACCTCCAATTGAAGAGAGCAGTGCTTGCCAGATGTAAACTGAGCTCAGAAACAACAGAGTCCAGGCACCTGCAAGATGTCACTAAACTAGCAAGCGGCTCAGCTGGAACCCAGATCGGTGACGGCAAAGGCCACACTGCCTGCTCCTGTCCCGCCACTGCAGACCATACTGTGCAGTCTGACCCCTGTGACCCCTGCTCCAAGGAGAATGGACACGTCAAGGTCTTGGGTTTCTGTGGGCTTTCTTTTACTTAATATTCTAGCACAGCTGACAGCTGTTTCCACTCTTTAACACTGATTTTTTTAATAGCGTCTATTGCGTGCATGCGTGTGTGTGTGCGTGTGTGTGTGTGTGTGTGTGTGTGTGTGTGTGTGTGTGTGTGTGTGATGGGGAATGCCCTTCTGTATACATGTTTCTCTTATTGGTTGATGAATAAAATGCTGATTGGCCAGCAGCCAGGCAGGAAGTATGGGCAGGTCTACCGGATGAGGAGAATTCTGGGGAGAGGACACAGAGAGGAGTTCGGGGAAGACAGGACGCACTGGATGTGCTCTGGTAGGATAAGGTCACGTGGAAATACTTAGATTAATAGAAATGGGTTAATAATTAAGAGAGAGCTAGCCAGTAAGAAGCCTGAGCCATCGGCCAAACAGTTTATAATTAGTACAAGCCTCTGTGTGTTTATTTGGGGCGGAAAGGCAGCAGAACCAGGTGGGAAAGAAACTCCACCTACATGTGTGTATGCATGGTATGTATGTGTATGTACATGTGTAGGCTACAGCACACATGGGGGTCATAGGACAACTCACGTCTCTCCTTCTGCATTCGTGTGTGAGTTCCACGGATCTTGTGTTACTATTATCCAGTCTCATTCTTACACCAACACACACACACACACACACACACACACACATCTCCAAAACTCATTAGTCTTTGTTAAGAACCAATAAGAACTGGCCACATAAGAACTATTCAGAGAGAAATGAGTGCCTGGGAAATGCTGCTGAGGTAACAAAGAACCCTTCTCCTGCACCGCGCACTGCCCACGGGTGTGGGTAGCGGCCCTCACCGCGCACCGCCCAAGGCTGTACAGTACTGACGACACAGGACTGTGCAGATACCTTGCTTGCACAAATAAACCCTGTCTGGGGGTCAGAGAATGGAGCCTGCCACTAGCTAGCCACAGAGGTCTGGGGGTCTGTACAGACAGACAGGAAGTGACGTAGCTGCTCAGTAACAGGATATGAGCTCCCTTCTCCGTGGAGACATTTAGGGGGTTAAGGCGTGGCTCGCTCCTTCTCTCTCATCTCTCAGCATTTACCTCCGTATCTGGCTCGTCTATTTGCACACTATCGTGCCTCGCGAGCCCAGGCTCATCTTAGTTCTGATGTACCTTAGAGCTTTTGCGCACACTGACCACTCTGCTCTTGGCTCCCAGCTACTCCACACGCCAACACAGTTCTACTGGAAAGCAGGACCAAGCCAGCCTGACACCGCAGGAAACACAAAGCTATTGTTACCTGTACACTGACTCTGCTCTACCTTTGGTGGAAGTATAAGAATAACAACCTAAAAGTTTCTTCGGAAACTCAACTTCAGTACATTTATTGTATTACCCGGGCTAATTAAACTTGGATTTATTTTAATGTTTAATTAGCCCACAAAATTACAACAGCAAGATATTACTACAAAGATACACAAAGCAAATTCAATTTGGGAAATTCAGGATGGCTGTAGGTTTACCATCCCAGCACCTAGAAAGCCTGAATCAGAAGAATGTTGTATTAGAGGCCATCCTGAGATATACATGTGAGACACCATCTCAAACAAAGTATGTAATAATTTCCAAGCTGGAAGAAAAAGGGAAATGCTATGGAACGTTTTTAAGAGCATAGGGAACATGTAAGTCTATACTGGATTTTCTTTACACACATACTTGCTATATCTGAAAGTATAAATTACCTTCTTTTTAGACAGAACCTCACTCACTCTGTAGCCCAGGCTGGCCTTGAAATCACAGAGATCCACTCGCCTCTGCACCCCAAGTGCCTGGGCTAACGGTGTAGCCACCACCGCTGTAATTGGACAAAGTTCGCGAATGACAGTATTTCAATAGGTTTAAGGACCCTGAATAAACAACTCCAAGCTATGAGCTACTTACAATCCAGAAGGCAAGTTACTGGCCACAGGGACTGCAAATGAGCGCTGCACAGCTTCCACAAGGATGAAGTCAAACAGGGCCGACAAGACCCAGGAGCCCAGCAAGAAGGACTGAAACATGAACCAAAAAGCAGAAAGTGAGGTCCCTAAAAATGACAGCTATTTAGTGTGAATTCAGGTGTGTGTGTGTGTGGGGGGGGGTGTAGTGTATACATATACACATATATATGCTGATTACATATACATGTATACAAGCTTAGTTTTACAGTGTTTTTGTCACTTTCCAAACTTGGGAAATTAATGGTAACCGTTCCTATGTATCAGTTTCTAGAATTTCTAGTCATGTTGAAGAACAACTGTGAATTAAGACTACCACCACTAATAAGTAGCACACATACTATGTAGCCAAGTAAGCGACCAGGATTTTACTAGCTAGAGTTCAAATTAAAGTGTCTATTACTGGCAGATACAACGTTGCATACTGCCATCACCGCCCCCCCCACTGTTTTATGGTGCCATTGTCCTAAATTTAAGTTTTTTTCTTTGATTAATGTAGAAGAATCGTGTAATTTAAGAGGTAAGATAAATAATATACTAAGTTTTAAAAAATGGAAGGCATTTTAAAACAAGAGTCTGAACAGGGCCGCATCCTCTAATCCCAGCTATTCTGGAATCTGAACAGGTGGATTACAGACCAGAGGCCATCTTGGGGAAATAGGAAAGACTTTGTTTCAAAGTCTGGGAAATAAAATGCGAGGGCTGGAGACATAGCTGATGGCAGAATGCCCTTGCCTAGCACCCTGGAGACCCCGGGAAGTGCCAAGCTGCCAACAGGAAATACAGATGAGGTCATTTCACTCTGGAACCTCAGCAGGCAAAAGTTAAAACACCAAATCACTTACTGCAAACTTCCTGCTCCCGTATCTTCTTTCAAATATTCTGAAGTTATAAATAAGAAGACTACTGCAAAAAGTATCTTTCAAGTCAAGGCAAATTATCCTTCCGCAGACCAGCCTCCAAATCTAGAGAGGGATTAAAAACAGAACACTGGGTGAGTGACATCTGTCACGTGCTGTCCAGTGTGAGCTGGGGGGGGGGGGAACCACACACGCATGCCTGATTCCCCCTGATGGCGAGAGGTCTCTTTGCTTACTACAGTGAGATGCACGCTGTTAGGGCAGCAGAGGATTCCTCGAAAACCCCACTGGTCAGGGCACCTGCTGCCAGGCCTGACACAGTGAGTTCAAGCCCCAGATCCCACATCTTCATGGAAGGAGACAACTGACTCCTCAGAGTTGTCCTGACTGCCACACACAAGGCCCCACACACGGCATGCTCACCACCACACACACTCATACACACACTCACACACTCATACACACTCACACACATACTCACACACTCTCTCATACACACACTCACACACACTCATACACACTCACTCTCACACACACTCACACACTCATACACACTCACACATACACACTCATTCACACACACATACACATACACTCACACATAATCACCTGAAATAAAAGACTAATAAATGTTCATTTTATTATGTTCATACTACTGAATTTAAAAGCAAAGTTGTAAGTGACAATTTGAGTAAAAGTTCAAAAACAGCGCAGCTTCATCACCACGGCAACTTTGGGGAATTGCTGATAAATATTAGCATATTAAAATACATACTATCAGCTTTGAAAATCCATCTCCTGGCTAGGTGAAAAAAAAATACACAAGGAAAATGCTACTTTTCAACCTATTTTCAGTCTTCAATATTTTGTAATTTGAATGGCCCTGATGGCATCTGCAAAACACTGACGTCATTTCCCTTCACGGTTAGAACAGATAAACCCTGTGTTCCTTTGAATTACTGTGGGACAACACAAGATAAAATTTACCAAGTTAACTATTTCTCAATACTTGACTCAGTGTTGTTGAGAACCTACGGCGGTGTGCCTTACCCAATTATCCTAAATGCTGCACCATGAGACATTAACTTGCCATCCCTCCCTGCAGCCCTTGGTGACCTCTGTCCAACTTTCTGCCTGTGAATCTGCCTGTGCCAGGCACAGCATGAGTGTGGTCACACGTATCTGCCCTCTTGAGTCTGGCTAATTAACCTGGGAATAGTATGTTCAAGGGTCACAGTGAAGCGTGTCTCTGAGTCTCACTCTCTTACTGCTGAATACTACCACAGTGTCTATGTGCACAACGTTTTCTCTGCCGTCTGTCTACCGATGGACGCGGGGACGTTCCACCATGACCAGTGTTGCTATGAACAGTGCTGACACCCCATCGCAAGATCATCAAAATGAAGTCACACGGCCTCTTCCTCTACCAAACAAGGTAACTGCACAAATGAGGAAGCCAACCGCACTGCCAAAGCGGCCACAGCTGCCCCTGCTCCAAGCAAGGGGCCAGGCAGGGTTTCTGTCGCCAGGGAACCCCAACTCCTCACAGGGCTAGACCTAAGGAAGGCCAGCAGACTCGTGTGCCTGCCTACTCGCTGAACTGTCAGCACCAGGGTCCAAGACAGGGCAGGGGTACTATCACAAGCAGCCCCATGTCACAGAGTCCGCGGATAGACTACAGCAGTACCAGGACCACAGCGCAACTGTGAGGCAGCAAAGGCTACCCCAGGGCCAGGGCTCAGAAGGCTGCTGGGACGCCTGTCATTAACGCAGGGCACTAACAGACAACCCCACACGGTGGGCAGAGCATTCTGGAAGCCACCAGGAAAATATGAGGAGCATGAAAGTCAGGGCTACGATTACTAACATGCAGGGAACTGGGTATCCAGAACTCTCGTGGTTTGGTTTTCCTGTGGTTAACATCAATCAAATAAAGCTGGTAACTAGGCTTAAATAATCCAGGCTTTATTGCCATCCTCAAGGGACGTGATACAGGGATACCTCTGTCACCTGACCCTGTGACGGGATGAACACCTTACCATCCACCAAGCCTGCGTTGAGCTCCCCTGTGACACCTGCCATACCGACCAGAGGGGCTGGACTTCCTGGACACCAGCAGCTAAGCTCCCGCTTCATCCAGACCTGCTAAAATCATCCCCAAGCTGCCCGGAGTTATTCTGTCCTGTCTGGGCCCCCTCTCGGTTCACCGTCCCCTGAGGATCGAGCGCACACTTGGTACCCGTGCTCGTGTGTGTGTGTGTGTGTGTGTGCTTGTGTGTGTGTTTAGAATTCCCAGGGCAGAAGTGAAACTCCTCACTGCTCCAAAGCACTTCCTGTGAGTACACCCGACACCTTAGAACAGACACCTGGGACTGCTGTGTGCAGCAGCTGAGCCAAATGGAACCCAGAAACTGGGGGGGGGGGCTTTACATCTCCTCCCAGGAGATCTCAAGCATCAAGGCTGACCTCACACTCGAATCCCTGGGGATCGGTGGGGTTTTTCCTCTTTTGCTTTTCAATTAGCCTTTTAAAAAGTAAAATCATTAATGTCCTATCAACTCTGCTCTTTTTAATGTATAGTTAAAATATTTTTCCTTTTGGTTTCTTGCTACTGTATATGACCTGTTTTGGCTGCACGAGAGTAACATGTATCATGTACATCCAGTGCCTGTGGAGACCAGAAGAAGATGCTGGATCCCTGGAGCTGGAGTTTGAGGTGGTTGTGATCAAGCAGACAGGTGCTGGGAACTTAACCTGGGTCTTGTGCAGAAGTAGTGTGTGCCCCTAACCTCAGAGCCATCTCTCCAGCGCCACCCCACCCACAGCCTTTCTTACTCTAGGCTGAGAGTCTAAGTGTTTTAACACATATGTGTGCGTGTTCTATGTGTACATATACATCTCAGTGTGTTCTTCTCTCAAGCCAAAGGTGAGAGGCTCTCTGTTGCAGACAATGTCACAGTACAGAGCTTCTGTCTACTCTAACAGAAGCAGTGACAAAGGTCACTAACGGACAGACACTCACAGGGATCCCGTGAAGCCAGCGGTCTGGCCCCGGGGAGCTGAGACAAAAGTTTATGCTCAGGGTAGCAAAGGATGCGGGCAGGGCCCACAGCACACTGGCGCTAACATTCTGACCACACAAGACCCACTCATCAGGCGGGAAATAGAGCTCTGCTCTTTCCAATAGTGAAACGATTCCTGTTGGATTAATCCCCTTCATAGAAGCATCAATTCAGAGTGTCACGGACAAATGAGCTAGCTTGAACTAACTATCTCATCAAACACACAGGCTGAGGCGGGGGCGGGGTTTAGAAAAAAAAAAAAAAACGTTACCTGTGCCTATATAAAAAGAGATTAGCAGGGGTCAGAGGGCAACTTGTGGACGTGGGCTCTGCCTTCTACCATATGGTCCCAGTGACGGAACTCAGGTTCTCAGGCTTGGTGGTGGCAAGTGTCTTTAACGACAGAGCAATCGCACTAGCCCAGAAATCCTCTTGAAAGCATAAACTACATTTCCATGAGTAAAACCTGAAGCACGGAGCTATAAGTTCAGCAAAAGGTGACCCTGAAATTTCTCCATTATAATCTGCATTACTGAAAGTACCAGCAAAGGTACTGCTTGTCAATGCAGATTCAGGGGCTTTGCGCTCAGCCCTAAATGAAGGACCTGTATCACACACGTCCTCCTAAGGCTGAGGTAACGCGGCCAAAGGGGGAGCAAGAAGACTGTATGAGCCAGGACTTGGACATGCCAAGCCCACTCCCCCATCCCGGTGCACCCACGGCTGTGGTGGCCTGAACAAGACCTGGATGGAGAGGGGCTGACAAGGCCCCGGTCCTAGCTTAGGCACTGTGAGCAGTTGATGCCTGTTCAAAGTTTTCTTTAGAGGGTTGACCAGTTGTCCGTGCTCTAGTGGATGGCCCCACACCCCTGTGTAGATGTGCAGTTAATTGCTTTGACGAGGAGGAGGGGAGGGGCCCGGCAGCAGTGAGCCTGGGAGGGGTTGCAGGGGGACAGAGAGGGCAGACACAATCCAGACACAAGGTTGGCCAAGTAACAACTTTAAAAACACTTCTTTGGAAACTTTAGGGGGTTACAGGGGCAATAAGGGAGAAGAGAGGCCAGTCTGGGAAAAAAAAAAAAAAGTGTCCTCTCCTCCCAGAGGGCAAAGGGGGGGGGGCGGTGAGCCTACCTGGAGGTCGTTCTTGACAGCGTGGAGGTCATATGCGAAAAGCTTCTGACAGTGAGGCAGCAAGAGAGTCAGCAGCAGGGACAGGGCACTGGGGACCAGCAAGAGACTCTTCGACAGGGGCGCCTTGTCTAGGGAGGAGGAAAACACATCCAGGGTGACGGGGACTTAAAAAGCAAGCAACAAAACCCCACACAGATGGAGAGCAGGAGACCCTGATTTGTCCTGAATGAGAATGAAGGCCGAGTCCCGCAGCCCTGGCGTTTAGCTCTCACTAATACACCAGCGGTAACGGCCAAGGGCAGAAGGGCAGAGAGGCTCTCTGGAAAGGCGTCCCTGTCAGCGAGCAGCGGGCTCAGACAGGACCAACACAGGACTGACCGCAGCCAATGCTCGGTGACCTCCAGACAATACCTGTCAGGAAACAGGCAGCTGCAAGTGTGAAGTATCCCCGGCAGTTAGTGCCTGAGGGAGGTTCACACACTGATAATTTTTGAGGGGTTGAAGTGCTAACACGGCTTTCTGCAGTGCTCTCCGGAGGTTTCCCACAGTGAACACAGAAGGAACCCAGTCAAGTTTGCCATGAGGGGCTCATGGGGCCTCCGCGTCATCCTATGCAGCCGTCAGCTTTGGGGTCACTTGTGACGGAGGCTACAGGCAGCCAACGCGTGACCGTGGTGACAAGAACTAAAACATTCCAGACGACTCGCTGTGGGTAGGTCTTCCCGTGACAACCCCCAGGCATAGTCCGTGACATTGACGTCACCGCGAATCCGGGAATGAAAAGTACTGGAAACTCGGCCAAGCCCAGGTGTGCGCAATTCACAAGCTCCTGCGAACACAACGGAGCAACACTTCTCAATCCCCTCAAAATGCCTTTGCAAGAAACAAAGCACTTCAGACCCTCCATGTCGCTAATACTCTCCACAAGCTATGGTGCACTAAATACTATGTTGCTACTTTTCACTCCCCTGAGCACTTATAACTGTAGATTACAGGATCTGTGGGGAGATGGGCCATGCACACTGGAGGTCAGAAGACAACTTGTGAGTGTGGCTCTCTCCCTCCACGGTGTGGGTGGGCCCCAGGGCCTGAGGACAGCTCGTCACAGTTGGAGGCGAGGGCTTTAGAGGCAGAGCCATCTCACTAGCCCAAACGACTTTGTAAAGTTAAAAATACACATATTTACAACAACAAATTGTGTGACATGTATGTGTGTATATGTGCCTTCTCCTAAGCGTGTATATGTGTGGGCCAGGGGTCATGCCCCTCTGTTGCTTCTCACCTTAGTGACCCGGGTGTCACTGCACCTGGAGCTGGTGTGCCCATTCCACGGGCAGGCACACGGCGGGCAGAAGCCGTCCTCCCGTATTGCCCAGTCACACGCCGTCCCACTGAAGCTTGCCGTTTGCACTAGGTGACTGGCTAACAAAGCCTCCGAGACCCGTGTGCCTCTACCCCCACCCCAGCCTGGAGTTACAGCGGCAAACCACTCATCCAGCTTTTCCATGGGAACCAAGGACCTGGACTCTGTCTGGTCTTTACGCTTGTACACCAAGCACTGTACTCACTGAACCTGCCCTCAACAAAACGCTTTAAAGATCGTACAGACAACACGAAGTATGGCCTGGGTTCAGTTACTACAGCTATTTGTATGGCCCTGCTGTCCCCGAGGCCTGCAAAACTGTCCATCTCCTTTCCTCAGATCACACATGTACACCCTCACTGCCCATTACCTGCTAGGGAGAATTACGACCTCACCCTAGTTCCACAGACCTCCACACTCTGGGCCCGCCTGCCTCCAGTCCCAACTGCCCATGCCCGCTCTGCGGATCCCCCTCTGCGGATCCCTGCTCTGCGGATCCCTCTCTACCCATCCCCTCTCTGCGGATCCCCACTCTGCAGATCCCCTCTCTGTGGATCCCAGCTCTGTGGATCCCTCTCTGCGGATCCCGCTCTGTGAATCACCACTCTGCGGATCCCGCTCTGTGGATCCCTCTCTGCGGATCCCGCTCTGCGGATCCCCTCTCTGCGGATCCCTCTCTGTGGATCCCCACTCTGCGGATCCCTCTCTGTGGATCCCCTCTCTGCAGATCCCAGTTCTGTGGATCCCTCTCTGTGGATCCCCACTCTGCGGATCCCTCTCTGTGGATCCCTCTCTGTGGATCCCCACTCTGCGGATCCCTCTCTGCGGATCCCTCTCTGTGGATCCCGCTCTGTGGACCCCTCTCTGTGGATCCCTCTCTGCGGATCCCTCTCTGCGGATCCCTCTCTGCGGCTCCCACTCTGCGGATCCCCACTCTGCGGATCCCTCTCTGCGGATCCCTCTTCTTCCACACGGTGGCTCTTGGGTTCTGCTGGGAAATGTTTCCCCTGCACTCCTGTGCCAGAACAGAGCACAGCCCCTCAGAGGAGGACATTCCCGGCTCACCAAAGGCAAGGCCACAGAAGACATCACTGAGGGGACCCTTTCAGATTCAGATTAGCATCTTTTTCATGGAAAATTCCCTTCGTGGGGACTTTGCACCGTTGCAGTTGGTGCTTGCTGTGGTTACAGCGCTTGTGCAAGCAGACAGAAATAGCCCAGCTATTTCCTCCCGGGTTAGGGTTAGGCCCTGCACACATCTACACCGGAACCAACATACACTGGTTCACCAAGGCTTGCCAGATCCCAAACCTGCCAGAGCACCCTACTGCCTGGGGCCCCAGCAGGACAAGGGGCACCGTGCTGTAAGCATGGCCAGCCTTAGATCAGCTTGAGCGTGGAAGCCGCAGCTCTTCTTGCCTACAGAATGCAGAATGAGAACCTACCTGTATAGAATTCATGAGGGCTCAGTGGCAGGGCATTTGCCCAGCTCCCCTGGCCCTTGGGCTTGGTCTCCCCTCCCCCAAACTGCCCCTCCCCACAATCCCTGAAACAGCTGAGTGAGGAGCAAACAGCTCCTCCCCCACCAAGGCCACCCCAAGGTGGGTGGGTCTCTCTCCTTCAACTGTGGCAGGACCAGAGAGGGATGCAAGTCCTCCTTCCCGTTCTACCCACCCCTGTGACAGACACCCACACCTGCCCCGGCACCTCCTGAGCCACGGCTCTCTGACCAGCTTCTGCTCTCTAGAGCCCTGCCCGGCCGTTTTAGCTGCTCCTCCCCCTTCTCCGTCCTCCCCGCTCCTCCCCAGTCCAGTCTGCCAAGGACTAGCTAAACAGGATACCGTGGCCGGCTCCCTAACCCATCCCTACCATCATTAAGCACTTACTGTAAACCGCACGCGTTCCTAGGCCCCAGGGTTCAGCAGGGAAGTCAGGACAAAGGCCCTACTCTTGCAGTGCTCACCATCCACGGGAGAATAAAGAGGTGGACGTGTATGTCAGGTGGAGTGGACAACACCCGCCCGAGGACACGATCCACTGTGAATCCCCAGTGGCTTCTCAGACACAAGGCGCTGCTAATCCCCACTAACTGACACTGGGTGTGGCAATGTGATCTGCTTGAGCCAAGTGAAGCTAGGATATGTCACTTCCAGACAGACACCAGAGCTAATGTCCCAGCCATGCCCCTTCCTTTACCAGAGGTCAAGATGGTGGCCACGCTATCAGACAGTGTCGGCTGGACGCGCCCACCCCAGGCGACTCGCAGTGGCGCTGGCATCGACCGAGGCTCATTCCTGTGAACCAGGCAGGCCTCTGATGCTCAGCCTAAGGGGCTTCTGGGTAAAGAGAGCTAGCGGAAGAGGCAGCCATTCTGCACAGGGCGGCCAGGGAAACCTTTCTCAGAGTAAGATTTGAACAGAGACCTGAGCGAGGAGTCTTGCAGCACCTGGGGGGGGGGGGAGGAAGGAGCCCTACCACAGGAACAGGGGCTCTGAGAAAATCCACACTCCGCACACAGTAGAGCCCTGCACACACAGAAGATGGGGTGAGCACACAGCACACAGTGGGTCCTAAGGCCACGCAGCAAGCAGAGCCTGGGGCACCAGGAGGCTTTTGGCCTTGCCCTGTGTGGCGGGGTGTCTGGGGCGGGGAGGGGCTAGGTAGAGGGATGATGTCATCCATGCCCCATCATCATGTGAGATCATGGGAAGACAGGAGGAGAAGAGGGGTCCAGTCGGGGGCCTGATTTTCTAGCTTCACCAGCTCAGTCCTCACTTCACCCCGGCTTCCTCCTCCGAATACAGAGTCTACGACGGCACGAGGGTCCTTGCTGGTCTTTACAGCTCTGTCCCCACAGTTCTAACTAACACCGGCCGGCACGCAGTAACCTTTCACGCAGTAAATAAGTAAAAGACTTACCCGGTTTATTTCTCAAAAGTCACCCCGTGAAGCTGGCCCTGCCCTCTTCAAACTGGCACTTTAGGGGAAACGAGGCATTACCTGTGCTTAGCTTGGGCGGCCCTGGAGGGAAGGTCGGGGAGAGGCTTGCAGGCAGGTGGGTTACACTGTGCAACAGTCAGGGGCAAGGGAGGGGATAGGGGGCGGTGCACACGGGGGAGGCCTTCGCCCTCTCCCAGCGCCCATTCCGGCACACACCCTCCAGGTCAATCTGTCTCTCAACCCTCACCAGAGGAGCTTCTATTAGCAGGAGAGGGTATAAGTAACACAAAACCCTACAGCTAGCCAGCGTTCGGAGAATAAGACACTGTAGAATGTTCAGCCCTAAAGGGAACGTGTGTAACCCTCCCCCTCAATACCAAGGCTCAGAGATGGCTGGGGTAAGAGTGTAAAAGCCACCGTGTCCTCCGAACACAGCAAGGCAGCTGTGTGACGGACTCGGGAGTTTGTGACAGCCAGCCTAAGACAACCTGAATCCCTGTGATGGAGAGAGAAACTGGGCACACAATCCCCCCCCCAGGGCACAGCCAGTGGCAACCGCTAGCAGTTGAGAGAAGAGGCAGTTTCTCTGTGAGCGCAGACCCTGGTGTGTACAGCTCTGGGGGGGGGGGGAGATGGAATATCCAAGAATGTTTTGGCAACACAAACACCTCGAAGAGTCTGTGTTGTTGCTCCTTTTTAAAGGGTCACAAAGCTGGGCGGGTAAGGAAGAGACGGTGGGTCTGGGAAGAGCTGAGAGGTAGTCACGACTCTCAAAGAGCTAGTGATCTTTTGTGAGACTACATTATCAGGTTGGATCCCACAGAA